AACAACGACCAAACAAAAATGATGACACAACTGAAAGAAATAGTTGGTAATTGTTTCCTTGTTTGTGTTTTTCTGTTGCTGCTGCTGCTTGATGTGCATCTTTTGACCTTCTTTTTCAAATAATTGGTATCAAAGTTTGGCTGTTATCTTTCCATACAAATGGGAAATGCAAAGTGAGGGAACAGTGTAACATTCTTATATGCAGCCGAAGAGCTGATTGAGGTCAATCTGTGATTTGCTGCCTTGGCCCTGGGGGCCGGCTGTGATATCACCACGGGGTTTACAGTTGCCCACAGCTCCCCGAGTTTTACATATCTTCAAACAGTTTGCCTTTGCCTCCTAGTACAACATCATGTCAAGTACACAGTGTTTGCATTGTCTGCTTTTCATGCACTGCTGAAGCTCTTAATGGGCGAGTTAATCTCCCCTTTGGGGTAACAGATTATGTATTCTCTTCACTCTGCAGCTCTTTAAAGAAATGCCAAACGCATGCTAATGTCAGTTTCTTGTTCCCTTTTTGGTAATTTTAATTGAAACAACACTTCAGATAAGCACGAGGGGCTTTTCAAAATAGTGATTTGGCTTAGCTGTAAGAGAGCAGACATTCAAACTGTCAAATGGAAACATCTTGGTAAATATCACCCACAGAATAATGCATGAGAAAAGCTCAAGCTGGCAGCATGTGATGAGCAGTGAAACCACAGTGTGTTGTTCAAGCAGCTCGTCGTCCTTCTCACTCATGTGGTCTTGAGGCATTCGGGTGCTTGAGAGAGGGTAGGAAAATTCTTATCTGTCTGAAAATATGTGGTATTTTTTGAAAGATTCATGCTAATTTGGCAACATCCTCTCCACCCAGTGACCTACACTATGTTTTCCACGAGTGGGCTATCAAGTAATTCATCAGTGTTGAAATAAGGAGGACGGCAGAGTATGGACCCGTAGCTTTAGATATTATTATATATATTATATTATTTATATAACTATTATCATTATCGAGGGGGGCGGGTTTGGTTTTTTAATGTTGGGGAAACGCAATTAAGATTGAATTTAAAAATGTTAAATTGTTAACAGAATTCCTGGTAATCAAACCAAAGAAAAATGTAAATTCCAGGTTGAAATGAAATCTAGTTTTCATTCAGATATATTACTCATAATATACACAGTATTTAAAACTTGGGCTGCAACATGATATTAGGATTTACGCATCCAGCGATAATTTCTTATTGATTATTTGTTTCGTGAAATGTATAACACAATATCTATTTTATTGCATTTGAATTGTTTTAGGTCAAACTATTACATTTGCTATATTGTAAGACCGGAAAGCGTAAGAGACAAAACTCAAGACTAAAAAAGATCCATGAATCAACTTTTGCTGCTTGCTAAGTTTGTTAGTTTTAACCCTTGGTAACTTTATGAAAAAAACACAGATGAGCGCGTCAACATCGATGTCGTCTTCGAGATTCTTTCATTTTGACTCTTTTATATAGAATATTTCAGTGGAAAATCAAATGCCTAGTATCAATGTAATCGAAAAGTTTAAAATCATTTAAATGAATACAGTATGTATTCATTTAAATACAGTGCTTCACGTAACCGGCGTAATACGATGATAACGGCTATCAGTCGCGGATTAATGCCGAAGTAATTATCTTGTCTGGATCTGTTTTCATCACTAGTTTCTTTTTCTGTCTCTGTCTCTCTTTTACTTGTGTGTGTGGGGGTGTGTGTATGAGTAATATCATTACCTCTGCTCTGATTCCCCTGATTTGATCAACAGTAGCTCCTGGGTTTCATATTCCTGGCACTAATGCCCTTGACCATCAAAGACATCTAAAGAAAATACTCTTTGTTTGTCACGCATCCCGAATGTTAAGTTTAATTCACTTTGTCCGCTGCACTCGCATCTCACAGAGACAGAAAGAGAGTGACGTGCTCCATGCCTGGAAGCATTCACGGTCATTTCATGTTAAATGTTTTATAGACATTGGTGGTTTCGGGTCAAAGATGTTTGCTCGTTGGCCCTTCCATGACCAGCTCTACTGTGTGTGGCTCTTATTGGGAAACTGCTTAAAGGTTATATAAATGTTGTTGGAACATTATTATTTTCCTCAACTGTTCAACATCTATTAGATCTGTAATCATGAAATGTATTTTCATAGGTGAAAATGCATGCCTCTTATATTGAATAAAAAGGAACAAGTTGAGAAGAAATTCACCCCACAAATACTATATGTATACTGGACATTACGTATACACCACTCTTTGTACTACTTAGATGGCGCCGCGGTTAGCTGCCTCGGGGTTGTGGTGCGCTCTGTTTTGTCTTTGATTGAAGTTTCACCTTAGACAATCATGAACATGTTTATTTTATCTACTTGGCAGCTGTGTGTGTGTGTGTGTGTGTGTGTGTGTGTGTGTGTGTGTGTGTGTGTGTGTGTGTGTGTGTGTGTGTGTGTGTCAGCACCTATAAACCGGGCGGCTGACTTTCTGGCTGCAGTTCAGCCGAGTGATACTTAATTTCACGTATAAAATAAGGCAATGAAAACTTTATGACTTGGCAAATGTTTTTCATATTATACTGTAAAGTGTATATGAATAAAACAATTAGTGTTGCAGTTTGTTTAAGATTGAAAAGATACATGAGCTGAATACGGCGCTGCTGATCTTTATCTCTCCTTTTCACCCAGCATGGTGCACTTCCTGTTTGAGAACAGATGCTTATTCATTTCATTATTGAAAAGGTTTGCCTCCATCATTAGGCACATGTGTCAGGAACAGATGACAGACAAACACTATCTCAATATTTATGAGCTCAGTTGATAATATCAAAGTATTCTGAGAATAACTAGCGCTGCTTTTTATAATACATTTACATAGGAGACATTTTAGAGGAAGCTCAATTGAAATACACAATACAGAATGAAATGTGTATTCACTGTTAAATGTAGTATTTTGGAATATTACTTTGGTTCTATGTTACTGCTATGATATTCCGATGATGGATAGTTAAATGGTTTGTGTAGTGTTGTTTTGTAATCGTGATTTGGTCGTTATTAATCTTTTTTGGTTGTAAATATCAGTTTGTTTATTGTTTAACACTTCTAGAAAGCACTTTGTGACTGAAGCCTGTAAAATGTACTATATCAATACATTTTACCTCCTTACTTCCTGAGATTATTTTTGAAGACCCCAACAGTTTTAATTTTCATTATTAAACAATGTTGGCACATTTTATGATGCAAACCAACAAATGTAACCATACCTACAGTCTGGACATTCAATACTTCTGTATTTACTGTCTGAACGTTTGAGGGTAGATATAATTGCAGACTGCTTTTAGTTTGACGTTCTTTCAAACATGTTTGAGGCCTTGCTCCTTTTTTTTTGCGATCAACCTTTGCATTCCATTTGCTGTGTTTACGATATTTCCGGCTTTCATGCAAGCTCTTATATTCTGATTTCGCTTATCTTTTGTTACAGTGAAAGACGCATCTTGTGCTGGAGATGTGAATGCATCTTAAGGTGTCAGAGTGGCAAAGTTTAAATCAGAGTTTCATTTGAGTGTTTGGAAGACTTAGTAAGTAATTTACTGGAATTGAATGTAAAACTTGTGTTTATTTACACACACACACACACACACACACACACACACACACACACACACACACACACACACACACACACACACACACACACACACACACACACACACACACACACGCTGTTAATGGAGGACTGAAAGTGAAGCTGCTGTAGGAAGTGATTACACTGCTTGTTTCCTGTCCATGTTTTTAGCAGTTAGCTGTGGTAGAGCTGCAGAGGAAATGTAGTATAAGGTCAGGCTGACAAGAGTAAGCAGCACATTGCATTGTGAAGCATTTGATCAGGTGACGCTGCAGCTTTCTCTTGTGAAGGGCTGCAGACATATTTATCCACATTTGTGAAATAGTATGTAAGAACATGTTTGATACATAAAACATGCAGATTATGTTTTAAAGTAAGTGGCAATCGTATAAAGAGAATGTTGGAGGGTTTTCTGGCTGTGGTAATAAAGTATCCGAACATTGTTATGGCTGTGGTAATAAAGTATCCGAACATTGTTATGGCTGCTGTTTAAAGGAAGTGGTCTGAATGAGCTCAATCACTGCAGAGTTTCTACCTAACATTATGTTTTCAACATATCCATACATACGGTCTGCTGCTTATTTGATAGATCTCTAAAAACAACGCTAAGGATCTCAAGCTGGCGTAACTTTCAATTGTCAGAGAGAAAAATGAGATTCGTTTGTTCAAGTTAAACAGGCAGTCAGGCTACATTAAGGTAATGATGGCATGAAAAATCCCCGCCTCAGCTCACTGCCCCAGAACTTTTTCTTTTCTCTTCATCAGTTTCTCATCATTTTGTTGTTCTGTAGCTTTCAGGAAGCGGTTAACCTTGATACAGAGGATGCTAGAGAGATCTATAACGGATCACAACTCAAATGGAAAATTGAGGCTGCTCATTCATATACAAATTGAGAAATCGGTCTCCTTTTCGCCAAGACCTGCATTTCTCTCTTTTCCTGAACCCTTAAAGGGATCATTTTGATGGAGTTTGTGATGCAAATGAATGTGAGAAAATAGAGTGATGAGGAGGACATATTTCTTAATTTTGATTTTCACCTTGATGGAAACCAGTGTTTCTTCTGACAGATAATAGAAACTCTTAAAATAGAAAACAGTCAGTCTTCATTAATGGAAGAAGTCAGCCCTTGGTTTTGTTGTACATTGAACTTAGGTGTCTCTAGGACACCAAAGTGCATCTCTGCACTTTGTTTTGGTGCATCAGACCCATGCTAAATGTCAGGGACTCCCCTGTGTATCTTTCTAAAGATTTACTCCAAGTGTTAAGCTGCATCAAACTACTTCCACATTTTATTTGCTGATTTATTTATATGTTTAAAAGTAATAAAAGTTTATGGCTGATATTTACGAACCCTCTCTCTCCCCTTACTCAGGACTTTTACTGCTGCTGAAAGGATGATGATGACGATGATGGGAGGAGGCCAGGGCCGAAGGTGCATCCCTCGCTAGAATCATACTTACTCCCCAGAACTTCACCCCTCCACCATCCATCCACTACTGTCGTCCCCTCGCCCGACGCCATGGCCAACCACCTGGAGCTGATCCAGGAGCTGCAGCAGCTGGACAAGGTGCCCAGCCTGGAGAGGCTGCGGGCGGCCCAGAAGAGGCGCACCCAGCAGCTGAAGAGATGGGCTGTGTACGAGAAGGAGATGCAGAACAAGAAGCGAAAGGCGGACAAGAAGGGGCGCAACGCCAAAGACCTCCATCTAGAGTCCAAGAGGCATGTGTCCTTTGCAGCCAGCGTGGCACTGCTGGAGGCCTCGGCCAGGAACGATCCGGATGAAGGTAGGGCCAGTAAAGAATATTTACGAGATGTACAAATTAGAAAATGGAAGTGAAGATTTAGGGGGAAATGTGCTCTGTGTAGTGAACACGATAAATTACACAAGTGCTCTTTACACATGTGACCAATGTACTCACATAATCTAACGACTGAAGATTTACATTCACTGTAACACGGTAACACTGAAAATATGTGCTGGGGTTTCGTCCATAAGTGTAGAGTCAAATGCAGCAGAAAGCTTGGTGATGCCACATTTGAATAATTGTTCTAATTTCAGCCACACCTCACTGCTTCAGCGTGATATCAAAATGCCAAGGTCAGAAAAAAACAATTCGCTGGGCCTGTCCACTGAAACTGCCAGTGGGACTTGCTGCGTTCAAGCTGGATTTGTTCTGCTAGGAGAATGTTTTATCATTGTGAAATAATGGAGTTGTCACACTGAGATGAAAGTCTGCCAGTCTTTTAATTAAAATGTCTACGGATGGCCCCCCCTATTTGGAGATAATAATTGTTTTCTTCAGTACAAACAGCCCCACAATGCTGTGGCAGTGCTAACAGCATGTCAGTGATGCAGGAATGATAACAGGCTGATTATCATAGAGATATGACATCTAATTTAACTTTACTTTAACTTTAAATGAGATTGAACTCTTTTTTTGTTGTTATCATAATGAATACAGCCCTAGCTGTGCTACTCTACAATCTTTGCCTGTGCAAGCTGTCAGTACAGATATGGAAACAGCCACAAGGCCAAAATAATTCTAACATAGCAGATGCGGCCCTGCGCTGCGTACACACAGACACGTGCACACATATTCACATGGACTGTGAATTTGAATCAGCTCCAGCTGGAATGTTCTTAATGGCCTGTTAGATTTTATCATCTGTAACCTAAATAAAGGTCTGATGAAACCAGCATGCGATAAAAGGACATCACCTAATTGGGTTAAAGGAAAAGCTCTTTCATTACTATAAAAAAAGGCATGTCGGTCATGTTGCTGCTGGTTCTGCTGCTGCCTCATTAGACACAGATAGGTGTTGTCGTGTGAGGGATTGTAGAGATGGTTAGAATAGCATTACAAGGTTTGTGTGTTACCCTGCTGTGCAGTGTGTAGTTCTTCCAAAGTCTGCTGAGCCAATTAGACTTCAAACCAGGATGCTGTGTCTGTTGGAGTCATTCGTTTGAAAACTAGGAACATGCTACATCTACTCTTTTACTGTCAGCTTCTCTATTTAGACGTTCAAAAGCGATTTGAGAAATATTCCATGTATTCAAGTTCAGATTTATATGTAATGAATCATGGAGAAAATTAAATGTCAAATGCCAGCTTTTGTGTGCTAGGAAAAAAAAGCTTCAATTTATTTCATATGAAAGATATCTGAACTCTTTCAGTAAATCCCTTGTTCAATTTTATGAAGCCCATCCAGCCTTTGGGTGTTCATATTTGGTGACTTCTAAAAGGAAAATAATTTTCATGATTCAACAAAAAGCTCGGCTGGTATTTGTCCAGTCTGTAGCCTTAGCTAAACAACATCTGAGATTAAATTAAATGTGACGGGCAGGGTTTTGACTAGGGTAAACTACACTATTTCTAGAATAACCCACATCCCATTCAGTGGAAAGTACTCTTCACACCCTGCAGACCCTATATTCAGCCTTCTACCTCTGAGGAGAAGACACTTCGCTTCCACAACACTCATCCTGAAGCAATCGGCATCCTAAATGCGTCACTGGCTGCATAAACAAGCACCTGCACTACCCTTCAACTCGCCACGTTAAGGAGAAGAGCCATATGGTTACTATCGTATTTATTGTTGTTACTGTTTTGCATACTGTTTTTGTACTCTTCTTGTTGTGTGTTCTCGGACAATATATGTTTTGTTGTTGTTGAATACACCTAAAAAAATTACAAATGAACTGAATATATACTGAGCAACTGAGTATTTCACATGAAGATGTAGGGATTGCATTGTCAGTCTTTACATGTGCAATTTTTGTCTATAGCTGCAAATATCTAAAAATATATTGGATGGATTTCCAACAAATGTTGAAGATGAACCCGATTGACTTTGGTCTCTCTTATCTAGCACCGCCACAAGGTTGGTATTTGAAGTTTTGACTGAAATATCTTAACAACTACAGCATGGATCATCATGAACTTTGATCCACCATTTTATTCCATCATGAATCTCAATAACTTTAGTAACCCTGAGTTTTATTCTAGTGCTACCATCAAATTAAATTCCTTTGGTATTACAGTTTTTGACCCCATACTCACAAAATGACCATTCATCTCAGCTGCACTTTGTTTCTAGTGCTTATAAGAAAATGTTAGGATGCTAAACCTGCTACAAATCCACATTTTAACATTGTATGCGAGAACATACAGATGCTAGCATGACATTAGATGATATTTACAGATGCCATCACTTATTATGTAGTTCTGACCAATGTAAATAATGAACAGACTTTTCCCACCTTTGAATAGATGCAGCAGTGTCTCTTTGCTTTGGTTGGAGCATCACTGCTAACTGCAGAGGCTTTGTCAGTTCTCCTCACGGTGACAGTGCCAAGGCATCGAAACATTTGCCATCGGTGTCGCTTAATAAGGGTGACCATGAAAGGCAGAGAGATAAAACGCAAAGGGAGACAGGTTGTAATGTTGCCCACACAGCTCTGTGGCAGCTGGCTGGCTGATAATCTCCTCTCTCTCATTCCCTCCGGTCCCCAAATGCTCGATCAAGCATCGTGACTCCACACGCTATGCAGCTCAATGCTCACAGGCTCAGGGCTTCCTCCACAGAAATACTATGTGACAGTGCCATTCATTCTCCAATTGTACAGTCATTTCAAAGGAGATTACGTTAAAAATAGAAAAGAGAAATTGAATGTGTATCAAGAGGAAAATGAGTTTTAGCATCTTTGAAAATCCTGAAAATGTTGCTATTCAGATCCCTAATCTTCAAAAACAATGTCCACCAAAGCCAACATTAACAGTGGAATGTTACAAATGTGTTTACAAATGAAAGGAGCCATTTATAATGTATTTTTCCAATGGAGAAAAGAAGGAAGGGAGCAGTAAAAACAACAGAGAGGCTGAGCTTGAGTTTAACCTGAGGCTGACTCCACCGGCCTGCAGGCCTAATGAGAGGAGAGGTTGGTTGGTAGGAGCGACTCCTGCTTTGTCCCTGATTGGTGAGATGTTTCCTGTGATTCATCCACTGCTCTCTCTTCTGTGTGGTTGCAGTCAGAGCATCACTGTGTAGACCTGAGGGTATGTGTGCGAGTGCACAATGACAATTGCGTTTACATTGGTATGCATGTTTAATGCATGGAGTATTCCCTGTTTTTCGTCATTTGTAAGCTTCACTCTTGAACAGTAGATGTGTTATTACCTCCATTGAGAAGGTTATGTGAATTTCATTTTACTTTGTGTTAGGGAGTAGCATGGAACAAGGAAGAACCAATTCCATTTCGGAGCCCAGACAAAGCATGGAGCAGAGACAGAAATAGTTGTTACTATTGTTAAACCTGCGAGATAGGGCATTTAGCCTTAGCTGACTTCTGCACTCTCACAATGCCCTACTAGTTGTAACTATTTATACTCTTGCTTGAGTGTGTTCTGCTTCCTCTGAAATATAACGTCCCTGTCATTATGACTTCCTTACCAGGCCGTGAGGAGATGCAGATAGTGGAGGACACCGTGTGTACTCGAGCTGAAGATGTGTTGAGGCCAGAAGATGGAGAAAATATAAAGTGGGAATATTTGAAGTCGCATGAAAGTAGGGTTTGAATGTGTGCTGGTTTATTTGCTAGACTGACTTATTTGACACACAGAAGAGGCTTTGATTTGAGGAGAAATAAAAGAGGGACAGTTGGAGAGGATTGGATGCAAAGGGATTCATCCTGAGTCCCAGCCCATTGCTTTGCCCTCCGGCTGCCACCACCCTGAACCCTCTGACCCCCCGCTGTGATGAGGGGTGATGGCAGTGAATTATTGTGAAGCACCTCGGTGTATCTCTGCACGGCTCCATGGCTATTGAGACTGATGGGTTTTCTCCTCTCAAGAGAGCAGCTATCCTGCAAAGGAGCAGCAATAAGGGTCAGAAAGGACAGTCAACACACACACACACACACACACACACACACACACACACACACACACACACACACACACACACACACACACACACACACACACACATATGGGGAGTGGGGGCTGACCTTACATTTTCTCTTAACACCGCTGTGTTATCTGATGAAGTTGTCAAACACCTCAGTTATGATTGAGGGAGCCAAGGGACTTGTGAAAAAGAGAAAAAACTAAAAGAACCATTTGAATTGTGCAAAAAACGTGCATTCTCCGAATCACATGCTCTGCTTTTAAAAAAAGTCAAATGTATGTTTACATTCCTGCAAATTCTTATCCCAATTGACGTGAAAAGCATCTCAGCATAAATACTATCAGGCCATAGCAATGTAAACATTTGTTGAAGGGAATCATCTCTCTGATCAGCTGATTGTGAATGGGTGAAAACAGCATGGATGATAATGTCATTCATAAATCCTGACCGCTTTTCAAAGTGTCCTTGAGTAGGTCATTGAAGCCTGAGCTGCTCCCCATCGATCATCTGGCGAACAGTACTATACGAGCAACTCTAACTGCTGCACACGGCTCTGATTCAATGTTCCTATTTAATACAGACAATTTACAAAGTTAAATAATTACTACCGAGTACAAACTTTTGTGCCTTGAGGTTTTAAACGATCATTTGTGTACATTTTATACGAACCTTTGAGTAACATATAAGAACTAGTATGCACACTTTTCTCATATGATGTGTTGGTGCAACGTCCTTCATGAGGCATTCCTTTTAGAAAGTTTCAGTCAGAACATTTTATAGTGAATATAAAACATCTGAAAAGATAACCAATTCAAGGTTGAAGCAGTGCAGTGGCCACAGAAGGAAGAGGAAGCAGATACCCGGAGAGTCTATAGGA